GTCAAAACCCTCTGCCCAAAATAAATTGCCCACCCTTGCCATAAAGCTTACCATCCAAACACCCTTTCACTTCCCACACAAGAGATCACCCACAGTACATGCATCTAATTCATTACAATTATACAGATTTCACCCTGACTTCTGAGGATCAAGCCAATAATACCACATTAGAGATGTCTGAAGTAAAGGGTAAGGCAGGCAGTAGAGTATTATAGTTTACCATTTCTTGGTTTCTGGATAGACATAGCAATTGAATCCAAATGGAGATAAACTGCTACTTATCAAGAGAAAGGGACTTGTCCATTCTACACCAGAGCAACCTGCTACAAAGGAGAAGAAAGAAAAGAAAGAAAAAAGGAAAAACAACTTGCAATGGAAGTTTAACTGAAGACCAATAGAAAGGGGCCCCATGGCAGGGAGCACACAGAGGTGGCTTCTTCCTCTTCACCTTACCACCCAAGCAGATGTGGCATTCTACCGCCATGAAGGCCTTTTTATTTTAATATTCTAGGTTTCTTTTGCATCCAGGAGCAACCAGAATTATTTGCCATTTTGGGTCATGGGAAGAAGCTTATGAGTGATGCTATTTATACCTTCACACTGCACCACTTGGTACTAGGAATGCAGCACTGCAGCTTCCCATTGATCTGGACAGGGAACTGCCCAACCTTAGTATGCTTTGTTCTAATCCTTGTTGGTTGCCCTTTATGCCTGAAGATGCTGAGACTCACATTCCTCTGCACAGCACTTTGGTATTAAGGGATGAAAAGTACCACATGAAAGGCACGTGTTACCATGGATGTCTGGTGATGGAACTCCTTTACTATCTTACAGCCAAGGAACTCAGATGATAAACTGTCTTAAGGAGTTGACACTGCACACAAACACACTAGAGGGGGATACTGCACACAACACAGAAGAGGCATGGATGCCTATGGGCTGAGATGAAGAAGGGACAGAGACCTCTAAATTGCTTTCTCCCTGAGGGCCAACTACTCTAGCTCCAGACTTTCCCCTGAGGGTACCTTTATGCATTCATTCCCCTTCCTAACATTAAAAATGTCTCACATCCGGAACCCCCTTGTTAGAGCTGCACCAAAACACATTCTGATTCATGAGACAGGTGCCAAGAAAAGATCTTGGGCACCCAATCTTCTAACAGCAATGTACCATGCTAAAGTGGCAGCAGGGCAATTTGTCTGTCACATTTATATTCCTGGAAAGAATAAACACTCCTCTTAGAGGCTGAGCCTTTTTCCCCACAAAGTTCAAGACAACTGCACTATTTGAAAATGGAATGAAGCCAATTCCCCCCCACCTCCCCAAAAATCACACTTGCCTGGACTCCAGCTTGAACTGCGTGTTAACATGCAATATAGTTTATTACACTGTCCACCTGTACTGCTGCTGCCCTCAATGCATTTAGGCTTGAAACACTGGTACCAAGAGCAAAGGAAACTCTCTGTAGAGCTCTTACTGCAGAATGTGATTCACACCAAGATCTGCTTTCTCCTGCTGACCCAGGGGTATTACAACAGTGAAGAACTCTTTTTGCCTCTACTGCCTCCCCCACTGTCTGAAATCCACCACTATTCTCCTCATTCTTAATTTAACTCTGACACCAGTTTTTCCTTTCTCTTAACTCCTTCCAACTCAGCAAATTGCTTTACAAAGTAGCACTCTTGTCCCCTCCCCTCAACATCTTGGATGTACTTCACTGAGCTCCACAGTGACCATGCCAAGGGCAGCACTCTGTTCCATCCAAGCTCTTTGTTCTCAGTGCAGCCTTCACTGCTGTACTCTGCTCCTTACTACTAAGTGGCATCTATCCGCCACAGGCTGCTCAGGGCTAACTTTTTTATTACAGAATGCTAGCAGGCTCTGGCTTCACCCTCTCTCTTTTCCAATTACCTGCCCCTCTAACTAGACATCCTCTACCTTAGCCACTATCTTCTATTTGATTCCATAAGATCCTTTTAAAAGAGAATATTCAGCAAAACATTTAGGCCAGCTGGGAAGAAAGGCCATCCATGGTCACAAAAATGGGAAGTCCAGGTATGCTGCTGCTTACAGAATTAAGTCCTTACCTCCTCTGAATTCTCTGCCCCTCCATCCTTCCCGCTGCTGCCACCACTGGATTTTGTGGTGCTTTTAGCAGACTTCGGAGGCTCCTGGAACAAGGAGGAGAAAGCGGATTGAGTTTCACTGAGCCTGGAGAAAATCCCAATGGAGACCCACGTTTCTCTATCTCCTTGCACAGTGTGTCGCAGAGATGCCGTCTCTGTTCCCCCAATGAGACTTTTCCAAGGCCTCTAGCAAGGGACACATCCAGAGAGGCTCCCTTCTCCTTCCAGTGGAGAACACGGCACCACACCACCCCCCGCGGCGAGCAAAGGCTAGGATGCTCCTGCGTCCTTACAGGCCCGCCCTCTTCTGCAGAGGGCACAAGGCCCCTTCCAGCCCGGCTTTCCTATGGGCCTATGAACTCAGGGGCCCATCCTGCGGCAGGCTTCGCGCCCGGCCGAGCCAGGCAGCCGCGCCAGGGCCAGCACACGCCGGGCT